TTAGTTTACTAGGAGTAAGAATGGACCACTATTTCCTTGTAGCCTAGCTTCTCCGGTTGATATCACATTTTGGAGCTTCACGTCTGGTGTAAATCTCACTACAGCACTGGTCAGCTATATCTGGCGAGAGACTAGAGCATTCTGACCCAATATTTATTTTTTAAACCATTTTTTAAAATTTTCTATTCCTTAAAATTTCCTGATCTTCACTTTACCTCAGTGAAATCTCTCCCAAAATTTGATGCATTTACCAACATACATACAAGTATTTATTTATACAACATTTCACCTCAGTCATAAACCGCATGGAACTATTTCAGGTAACGCATATTACAATGCTAATCTTTGGTTTTATTTCATCTTATCTGCACTTCATTTCTACTTCTAACTACAACATATTAAAATTCTTATTTGAACAGGAAAATGTGCCTCATTTCCTTTATTTTGTCAATGAAGTACAATAACAGCAAGTGACATTATTCCTCTTTTAAAGTAAGGTAATTGAGATCAGAGCTGTGTGATTTTTTCAGTTAAACAGCTTTACAACAAGAATAACACTCAGAACATTTTTTGGTTTTATTTTTCTCATTTTCATCCTAATTAAAGGTAGTTTTAATTAAAAAAAAATTAAAATAAAATAGAGGTAATTTTAGTAAAAGTATATTTTTGAAAGAGATGAAGTTTATTCATTTTTTTTTTCTTTTTTTGCCTTAAAAATACATTTATTTTTAATTCATTAAATATCTTGTCTGAATCGAAGTTATGCACTTTGGCCAAAGCAAGCACTGATACCTTTTTGTCTCCATATGAATGTAACTGACCCCAGAATCCAGCTTTTCCTTGGTTAAAATTCACAATCTCTTCTTTCTCCCACTTCCTGGTAATATGACCTGTCAAAATAAATTATAATGTCAGAAATGAGAAGAAAGAAGATAAGGCTGATTTACTGGCAAAACACAAAAAAAAAAAAAAAAAGAAAAAGAGGTGAAAAGACAGCAAAAAGGACATGGACAAACAAATGCCTTCTCACACAAACTGGAATATCCCGAGTCCTTGATTCCACAACAGAAATCTTCATTTTCAGGGCTCACTGAAAGCTAAGTTTTCAGTGGGCCCATGTCTACTCAAAAATCCTATTATGCTTGGATTGTACATTTCAGTTATTTTAATTGAGATACCATAAAAACTAAAGAAAAAATGGTCTAAGGTAGTTAAAATATATAATTACTCTTGTTGGTGATATATTACAATTTATAGTACTGTTTTTAGATTATTGTAAATTATTGTTCAGGGGAATGTAAAAGGCAAATAAAATCTAGCAGTAACTGTTGAAATTAAACAACTACTGCAGGCAGCCCCTAAAGGAAAACTGCAGTGTAATATAAAATCATTTTCAGTCATTACGTTTAATTAAAATGGAAAAGAAAGGTAAACCAGGCATTAAGTCCCAGGCACTGAATATCCTGAACTTCTCCTGAATGCAAAAAAAGCTGAGTGTATTCAGCACATTCTAGACTCACAGCTGAGCCAATACATAGTTCAAGAAATTTAGTTTTTAAAAATGATCATAAACAAAACAGGAAGCTAAAATAAAAATTACAGTCTAAATACAGATCCTTGCACTTAACTTCAACTCCCAGCTTTATTGTATACAGTAGATAGATAAAGTTAAGCATGCATCCAAGTCACTACAAGATCTGGGTCTAATTAGATGGGATACTTTGAGTAAGTGCTACTCAGAAGTACAGGGGCCTAGCCATGTGAAGTTTCCAGAATTAGGATCTATCTAAATACCATGAACACTCAAACATAATGAAACCCTAACAAGGTTTTCCAAAATGCTCTGGAGCTCATTTTTAATATGGATGAACTTATGTACTAAATATTTTATTAAGCCTCTGCAGTAATACTACCAAAAAAAAATTACTTGCAGTGTTCCTCTACTTATTTGAACAAAACCACCCTTCCAGCACAACAATGCTGTGCTTGTAACACTAATGCCCATACTTCCCTCCTGGAGTAGAAAAAAACCACTAATTCATTTCAAATCAGAGAGTTCCAACAGAATGCATGAATGTTTGGCCTTTGACCAATATTTAATCCTTGCATGTACCTTTCCTATATTATAACATAGCTGCACTCCATATGTATTGTACTTGAGAAGGGTGAGGGGGTGGAGAAGGAACCAGGAGTATCCATTTATTAGAGAAGGAATGAAACCAGGTGACTTTTTCTATGAACTCTAGTTGATCTTTACTTATCTAAGAAAACTGCAATCAAACCAGAACACCACTGAGGACTTTTTTGTGTCTGAGACCTTACATTTTAAAATCAGTTGAATCCTGTTTCCACTGCTATCACTTTTGTTTCTGTCTTCAAGAGTGTGGAATAGGCTTAACATAGTGGAAGTCAATGCAAATGGAAACTATAAAATGTAGATGAAATATTAGCAGTTCTTATGACAAGAAGTCTTTCAGGGCATGACATTCCAACGAACCGACTTCGCGCCATAGACATCTCGTTATTCTACGAGCAAGTGAAGGTCCCAGTGAATATAGGGTGTTTGTTACTGCTAGTCCAAGAACTGATTGCGGCAGATTTTAAAGGAGCCACTATTGAAGAACTGCACATATATATTCATAAAATTCCCTAGATTCAGTTCATTCTTGATGTTAAGTTCCAAGAATTAGAGCATGTGGTAAATATCAAATTTAGTATTGCAAGAATAGCTGCATATTTGGTTTTCTCTCTGCCTGCTATCAGGCTGTTGCCCTGCTTTGCATTCCTTTCTAAACTATGTTCATTATTCCTCAACAGTTTAAATTCACAAACCACAACTAAGTACAGAGGGTGGTAGAGCTTCTATGTAATGGGTATGTCTTTAAGAGAAAGAGCAATGGTTTAGTAAGATTTGATAAATAACATAACATAGCAGACAAACTGTCAAATAAACTTAGGCCACACTAGTCCAATGACCGCAGGTTTTCATTTTGCAAAATTGTCAAGAAATTCTCCCGCCACCTCCAAAATCTTAGGTTTGAAGAAAGACTCAGTGCATTCCCAACTGAAATACAGCAAACCAACTATTCCTATAAAATTTGTGGCCTTCTAATAAGGTATTTCTTATTACTACTTCTGTCTGAACTTGTATAAGCAGCAGGATGCAAGTGCTATTTGTGATACATTTTTTGCCCTCTCCACGATATGTATCCCAATCCACAATCTAAACAAACTATTTTTACCCATTTGTTCCTAGACACTTTCTCTTACATCCTAAACCAACTCAAAATACATGTTTTTTACTCAGTGGTCACTTACCTAATACTTCATAAAAATGAATCTCTTTCTCTAACCTCTTTCAGGAAGACAACTAGACATTGTGTCTTTGTTTGCAATTACTGCTGAGATCTGTCTCAAATTGAGCTATATAGAAAGTCATCCATACAGGCAAAACTGAGAGGGCAGTTAGGAAAGAAAAATGTCATCAGAATGTCCCATAGGCAAGAGGGGAAAGA